TCTAGTGGAATCAACATCATCAAAAATAGTGCTTTGATTAAAAAAAGATTTTGTACTTAATTGTTTGTCAGAAACGATGCCACATTTACCATATTGATTATGACTTATTAAATTACTTTCTCTATATTCTCTATCCAATTTAACTGATTTGCCACAAATACATTGAACTAATTTAGAATTAATTTCCTCAAGGAAATATTTATTTCTATACAATTTTCTTAACTTTTTTAATTATTTGTTTCATCATTTGTTTCAGCTACAATATTTATTTGGGAATTAACATTAACCTTATTTATTACTGTCTCTACATTCATTCTCATTTTCATTCTCATTCTCATTTTCATCCTTGTCCTCATCTTCATTCTCACTTTCATCTTTGCTTTTATCTTCAAACAATAATATAGTACAGTTTTCATTCTCAGGAAATTCAATTAATTCACTAACATTTTGAAATATTTTTAGGATCTTGATTTACAAAAAAATTATTTAAGTTTAATATACACATATATTAATATCAATTTTTTTTTTTTTAAAAATTTATGTAATTTTAAAATTTATCCCCTAAATAATTTATCCAAAATGGAACTGACATAAAAATATTCAAAATATTTATATTTAATTTTACCCATTTTCTAGCATAACTATTTTTTTTCTTTACCCTACAAAAGTCATGACCTTTTAAACCATATATATTAATTTACCCAGAATTTTCTCTGACCTTTCGGTTTTTTTACATATTGATTTACCCAAAAATAATGTAACCTATCTATGTAGTTTCTGGGGTCCTGGTGTAGACAATAAATTATTATATACCACTACTTGAAAATCTGGAAAGTTTATTCACTAGTAGTTATACAATCAAATATTTGAAAAATACTCTACTTTTAAATATTAAATCTGTGATTATACAAGATCTGTATGGTGAACTATTTCTATTAGACTTGTGTGATTTCATTCACATCAATGGAAAAGCTCTGTGCAACACTGGTTAGTCAGCTACAGTCAACCCCCTAAGTGCACACCCCCTTGGGAATGGTGTGCAATTAGGGAATTAAAGCATTTTATTGGCTGCACATATTGGTGATTCATGTAACACTAATTAAAATTTTTAAATTACAAAAAATTCAAGATATGAATCTATCTATTGTACTTTGTTCCATTGTATTTATTTTTTTAAGCTAATATATTTTTCAAGATAATTAATTTGTGATCCACGAGTTAAGGAAAGGATTTAATTAATGCTGATCTGGGCAAATTTTTAAATTCATATAGTGAAGGCATCTATAACAGTCAATGGTTATCAAATGACTTTTAAAAGCTTATAACTCCTTATTAAAAAAGAAAAGAAAAAAGTAAACTGATAGAATTAAAGCTAAAGACCTAAGCTTCATTCCATCGGTTTACCTTATTAGAAAAGTTTTGAGTTATAAGGCTTCAAAGTTAGGCCATTTTATATATGTCTATATGTAAATTGTAAAATTTCGGATGATCTTCCCTTGTGATTTCCTAAAAGGCCGATTATCGACTTAAATTTTTTCGTGATACAGAAAATCGTTCCAATAAAAGAAATTTGATTACTTAAATTAGAAAGATCTTCTAAAATTTGGACGTGACATTTATAGATGATTTGAACCATAATGATAGTAATAATAATAGCAAACAATTTTTCGTCCCCATAGAAAGTCATGCATTTATTATGTTATATAAAACTACCTAAATCAAGGGTAAAAAACTATATTTACTTACAAAAATATGAGCTGTTAATTTTATCAGTTTTCTGTTATTTAATGAGTGGTCCTGGATTGTGGGTATGAAATTTATACATTTAAATATATAAAACAATTAGAATATGTCCCAGAAGAATATTATTGAATGTAAATTTATTTCTTTAATTAATAATGACAATGGTAGCTATTGACTTTATTGACTTTTATTGTGTTTATTTATATCCAAAAAAAACTAACTGTAATTGTTACATATAATATAGAGGGAAATTTATGATATTAAACTATCATGGGTCAAAAGGTAGCAAAACAGCTATATTAACCAAGAATTATTGAGGCATGTAAAGTTGGTGTCTGCAACTAAGAAATTACAATTTGGGATGTTTCAACCTAGGTTGCAACTGGTTACAGAATTTCAAATCAATTGCAGATACCAACTTTAGAGACATGGTAGATTTTGAATGTTAAATCTGGGTGTCCATTTTTCTGATAACTTTATGATTATAATTTGAACTATTAACTATTTTTTGATAGGCTTGTAAAGTAGTTAAAAATACATATAATACATAGTTTTGGAAGTCATATGACCATTTAATAAAAGCTCTTGCCAAGTTTTTCTTCATATAAAAAATAAAAAAAATTTTTTTCAATGAAAAATAAATAATTATATAAATAAAATTTGTTAATTCTAAAATTTTTTTTTATTTAATATTAAATTTGGAGATTTACAATTCTTTTTTAATAACAGTTTCTTTAAAAAGAAAAATTTTTAATGATAAAAATTGCACAACTTTTAAACCCTTATAAATCCTTTTTTTTACTAATAAAATTAAAGAAAACTCTCTGTCAGCTTATTCCTTAAGCCACAAGAATAAAATCATGGAAAGATTATTGCTCTATTTTGTTTAGTTATCAAGTCTATATGCTTCAAAGTTCAACTGTGATTTCAACATTTTTAGATGATTTTACTATATAATAAAATGGAGATACAATTTTTTTTTATTTATTGAAAAAGTTTAGTATATAGTAAATTTTATATATATATGATATTAGTTAATTTTGATCTACATACACATGAATATCATTAATCGGCTAACCAGTTAATTTAACCACGTGAAAATTTTTAACTGGCAAACAAATCATTCGAATAATATAACTGATGGTAATAGTAATAGTCATGCCAATTAAAAAAATTATAGTCATAGCATGGTTTCTATTTGAATAAGAATTCGTTTGATTTATTTGTTATGAATTTGAATATTTGAATTATGATGAATTTATTTAAATAAAACAAATAATTCGAATAATCCAAATAAATATAAACTGAACAATTAGAATAAAACGAATAAATGAATAATAATATTCATCAGTTAATTTTAAATTTAGATCTTACAAATAAAACGAATTAAGATTGAGTGATTGAGTTGTATTAGTATAATGAATAATTATAAGAATTCGTATTACCATATCAATTCCATCATTTTGAACATGTTAATATATAGATTATGTTTTGGTATTTGTATTTGCTTCTATAACTGATATGTATTCTAGTTAGAATAAAAATTTGCGACATCAAGGTTGACGATTGACCAGCTGTTAAAAAAACTATTTAAACGGTTAACAGTCCCAATCTCTAAACTTACCAGGAGCACCTTTCCAATACACAATCTCATCTAAGAAGATTATTATCATCTACCACACAAGTGCAACTTGTTGATTTCCATACAACTTTGTCATATCAAATTTCTTCAACACATTTAGATCATTATTTTGCATTACAGATAGATGAAGAAACAGAACCTTTATTATGATGGCAGACACACACCAAAGGATACCCAATTGTAATATTGCACAAGATTATCTTACCACCCAAGTGACGTGTTCTTGATTACTGGAAGCTCAAAGATCGTTTGTGCATGATTATTAATAAAATAGGAGATTATTAGAATCAAAAAATTTTTATCATTTATATATAAAGACCATTTAAATCTATAAATAAATTTTTTTTAAATAATACTATTAATACTAGTTTGACCAATGTCATATATATACAGTATATATTAATATTATGAGATTAAAGAGCAACCCTAGATACTGACATAATTCAATAAATTCATAAATTCATCATGCCAAACCTATGAACTTAACAGGCTTTGATGTATAGAACTTTTTTGAATCCTAATATTTGATTTGATTCTTTATAATCAACAATATGTATTGATTGTTATTATAAAATATCCAATTATTATGTTGGTACAGTTGTCCCAATAAATTTATTCGTCAAAAATTTTTTTGCATATTAGTCACCTAAAATTCACGGGAATATCTCAAGTCCCAATCTTGGGAATGAGTGAGACATAGGATGCATTTATAGAGGGTGCGCATTTATAGAGGGTGTGCTTGTGGAGAAGGGTTGATTGTACTTGGTTAATACTAATTTTATTTAGTATTAGCGTTAATAAAAATTCCGACTTTTTCGATCTACACAAATATCAATGATTTTACTGGCAAATTCTTTTTACAAATTTAAGATTGATGGATTTGCTTCCAAGTAATAAGAATAATGTTGATTTGAGGTTTTAAAGTTCTCTTCATTGTATTAACAAGTTAAAAAAAAATAGTTTTAGAAAAGCGAGAAAAAATAGCTGAAGTTATTCTAACAAATGAGCAATTGGTATTATTATTAATCCACCAAAGAAAAAAAATAGATCATTATTCAACGTTTTAATAATTTAATGTTTATTTATGTGTATATATAACAGATTATCGATTATGATCGAACAAGAAATACCAACAGAGAAGCTTTAAATAAACTAAAAAAAGAACTTAAAAATGAAGATAAAGTTTGGGCTAATTTTGGAAATTTTTTCTTAAAACTTGAAAACGAAAATGTAAAAACTTACATCCAGGAAGGTTTGTGTGCATATATTTATTTTATATATATATATATATATATATATATATATACATTATTTGTATTATAAACTAATTTCTTTTTGAATTTATTCATTTTAGAACAACAAAATCTTGAAAAAGAGATTTTATCATTAAGAGAAACCATTAAAGAAAAGGCAGCAGAATTGGAAAATTTGGAAAAAGGTGAAATACAAAAAATGAAAGGGTTCGATCTAAAAGGAATCACTGCAAGTGATTTATACAACATAACTAAACATAATGATGATAAAAATACCGATTAAAAAATAAATTAATTTAATAAAATTAAAACCCATAATAGTACTAACAAATTTATCCACTTTGTCAACATCTTTACTCATTTCAATTATCATCATCAATAGTTTTCTAATACCAACATTTATTTGAATAAGATGATTTTGTTTAAGAGTTTTGAGTGTTTGCTCTCTTTCATCATTATTACAATTTCAATTGAACTCAAATCAGCAATATTTGGTACTTCAATTTCAGAATTGAAAGAATCTGACATATCCATTTGTTGAACAACTGACTTTTCATTGGTAGTGGCTAAAATTTAAAAAGAATGACCCTAAAATGATTGATTGATTGATTGATTGAAGAGATGTTTTATTGAAAATATTATATATACATACATATGTATTAACATAAGCACGTATGTATTGATCTATTTATTAATGACTACTTATTTTATGTGGTCTTTTTTTGAATAAAGCTAATAGTGTTTGTAGGACAGAATTAGAAAATCTTGGACCAATAGGCACCCAACCTATACACAAATTTTTTATTTTAAAATAATGGATTAATAAAGGATACTTATATTAAAATTTTATAATTAGTCAGTCAATATACTAATAATCTCTCAATGCTGTCCACAACTATGACACTTAAAGGTGATTATAAGAATCGTTAAATGCCCACATAAATCATAAAATTTATTTTATCCATATCATAAAAACTCTAATCAGCAAAATAAATAAAAAAATCAACCAATACTTTATTTATTGCAATCATTTTAGCTGATTCTGGATATCCAACCATGCTTTCTGGTGAAATTAATTTGATAAAAGGAAATTCTGATGCCATTGCCATTGTAACTGCCAATGCTGTTTTACAACTGCTAGAGGGTCCTAATAATATATTAAATAAAATAAATACATTTAAATATATTATCACACATAATATTACTGTTAAACTTTAAAAATACTACCTATATTATATAGAAAAACACTAACAAGCGGAGTTTTGGAACTTTTTTAACTTGTTCAATAAAAGCTGTTCACATGACAATATCCCCTAAACAAATAAAAAATTATATAATAACACTATTAAGAAATATACATATATATATATATTAAAAATTTGATTATATTAATTCTTTACCTCAATATGTGATGCAAATTGAATAATTTTATTTTGGATGCACTGTTGCAATTCTTCATCACTGACACCAAAAGCTGAATGTACTTCGTTCAATGTTGCTAGAAAACTATTTTTATTTATTTTCATATCTTCAACATCTTGCATTACTCCTACGTTAACATGTCTACTAAATGCAAATGAACTAGCACTCTTAACAAGTCCGTTGATTTCTGCTCCACTAAAATTTTAGTCAAACTAGTTAATTCCTCAAGATTAACATCTTTATCTAAAATATCATTTATTTTCATCTATAGTTTAAAATTTAAAATGTAAATAAATTATTATTTACCAAACAATTTGTTTGAAGTATTAATTTTTAATATTAGTGATCTTCCTTGTTCATCTGGTAAACCAATTTCCATATGAACTTCCAAACAACCTTTTAGGAATCATCATTATAAAAAAGCCTTTATTACTGTTGTTATTATTATTGTTATTATTACTTTTCTTTTTATATAAATTAAAACTAACCAGAGTGAAGTAAGGCCTCATCAATCGATTAGTCATACAAATGACTAGCATATTATTCAGTTGTTCAACACCATCAATCTATATTAAAGAATATATGATTTCCCAGTTTAATCTTTTATATCAATAACAATTATTATCACTGTTATCATTTAAAAAAAATATCCTTTGCCAGCAATTGATTTATACTACTATCACCAACACCAGTTCCATCAGTTCCACACTACCACATTGTTTACATATAGAATCTAATTCATCAAATATTATAAAATGTAATCTGGAATCTTTGCATTTGTCCTTGTATTCAGCAAACAATTCACGAATATTTTTGGATCGACCCACATACAGTCCACACCATCTATAACGGATCACTGGGACCAGGAAATTTGTCCATTATAGAGAGAATCCAGTATAGAAAATTATACTACATTAAGTCATGTGGAATAAAAAAAATATTAATTAATATTTAAAAAACAGTAATATAGATTGTTTTGTTGAATTGAATTCTATTTTTTAATTTTCTTTTTGACATTTTTTCACTGTTTCAATTCCTCATTTGTAAATTCCTTAAAATGTCGTTCAAACAAACAAGTTTACTTTTTCAATAGCCAATAAAGCATTTTGACTTAAATAGGAGATGTCTCTTCGATGTCTTCTTCGTCCTGATTTTCTTCATTAAAATTCGACATAGAAATTATTTCTTCTTCATTCAGCAAATCATCATCATCAACATTTTTTTCATTCATCAATACTTTTAGTTCATTACATCATACTTATGTCATTTATTTCAAATAATTGTTTTTATTTTTTTATTTTGCGATTACAGGCAGGTAATAGTAATTTTTTATTATAATTTAGATTTAGAGAGATCTGCATTTTTTCGATGATTTTAAAACTTTTAATTCATTATAATCTGCTTGTATATTATTTTGTTCAAGAAATTAAAAGCAGTTTCAAAAGCTTTTCACTTTTTTTGGAAGAAGATAGCTGTCGAGACATTTTAATTTCATAGAACTTAGAGATTTTATTAATTTAAAGAAATCAAAGAAAATGTTGATTATGTAGAATTATTAGAAGATATTTATTTATTATCAGTTTAGAAATACGGAAAATTTAATTAATATTATTTATTTAGTGATATGTGTTTAATTATTTGTGTAAAATCATTATTTAGAAATACGGAAAATTTGATTAATATTATTATTGGAAATATGGAAAATTTTGATCAATGATAATGTGTGTTTAATTATTCGTGTAAAATTATTATGGAAAATTTTGATTAATATTATTATTTTAGTAATGTGAGAATCATTCATGTAAAATCATATTGATATTTTTGAGAATCATTCAATTTGTTTATATTATTATTTAGCAATGAATTAATCTTAACATAGTAATGTTTTTTTTTAATAAAATCTATATCACGTGAATCCGATTAGTACTTATTATTATTACTAAAATCCTACCAAAAAATCCTTTGTCCGTTGAAACGCGATTTTAAATATAAAATCCGTTGAACAAGAATTTTTTAATTTAAATTAATAAGATGTTAATCAGTCCGGTCCGGTACTGGGGCTTAAAGTCCTAGAAAAAGCCCCAAAAAGTCCTCAACCTTTTTTCAAACAGTGTATTTATTATATATTTTTATTATATATCTTTATTTTTATTTATATATTTTATATATAGTTTTATATATATTATTATAAATGTTTGTAAATGTAAAAAAATTATATTAAAAAAATTATATTAAAAAAATTATATTAAAAAAAATTTAAAAAAAATTTAAAATATATTTAACATATTTTATATTGAAACAATCTTTGCTTCAATCCAACTTTTAAGGCAAAAACTTGCTTGTGCCTTTTCAGGATCCAATCTATTACAAACTGGACTTAGTATGTGTTTAGCTATGCTAAAAGCTGACTCACTTGACACACTAGTTGATTGTATTGAGAAAAAATCATGAGCCATATGTGACAAAACAGTATACTTAGGACCTTTAAATCTTGTAGAATACCAATCCAGGCAATTTTACTTCTTCTGGCATTTCTAAATATTTTTTGATAAATTCATTGTTTGAAGTTGATTGATTATAGTGATTTTGAAATTATCTTTTAAAATAACTACATGTTGATGTTGAATTTATTGATGTGACTTCTAAAGATAAATTATATTTTTCTGAATAC